TGGATCACTGCTACACAGCAGTCCCCAATGCTTATCACACCATACCCCGTGCTGCTTTGGGCCACTCCGACCATGCCATGGTGCACCTTATACCATCATACAGGCAGAAACTAAAGCTGAAGAAACCTGCAGCAAGGACTACAAGGGTCTGGAACAACACGGCTGCAGAGAGCCTTCAGGCGTGCTTGGACTGTACTGACTGGGATGTGTTCCGGATACCAATAGCCTGGATGAGTACACAGAGGCTGTAACATCCTACATCAGCTTCTGTGAGGACTGCTGTGTACTAACACGCACCAGGGTGAGTTACAACAATGACAAGCCCTGGTTCACAGCTAAGCTCAGACAGCTAAGGTTGCAGAAGGAAGAAGCATTCACAAGTGGGAACAAGGACAGGTACAAGGAGTTGGAGGAACAGGTTTAGCAAGGTGATGAGAAATGCTAAACGACCGTACTCTGAGAAACTCCAACACCAGTTCTCAGCCAACGACCCCGCGTCTGTCTGGAAGGGGCTCAGACAGATTACTAACTACAAACCCACAGCCTCCCACTCTGTCAATGACCTGCGCCTTGCAAATCAACTGAATGACTTCTACTGCCGCTTTGAAAGACAACTGGACAGTTCACACATCATCACCCCCCGCAGCTCCCCATGCCGACCACAGACCACCTCCCCCACACTAACTGCTGGTGTGACAACCTCACACCCCGCCTCTTCATGTTCAAGAGGGGGACGTTAACAAGGTCTTCAAGAAGCTGAACCCCCGCAAAGCTGCTGGTCCAGACTACATCTCCCCGTTCACCTTGAAACACTGTGCTGACCAGCTGCCTCAATTACTATTTCCCCATCCTAGCACAAGCATGCACTCTCTTAAATATGTATATATTTCCACTGCTGTATCATATTTCACATACACTAACTATTTATATTAGTACCTGTACATACTCTATGTATATATATTTATATATTAACCACCGCATCTCGAAGTCTGGCACCAACCACCAAAGCAAATTCCTTGTATGTGTGAACATACTTGGCAATAAACTCGATTCTGATTTTGATTCTAATCAGTTTCTGCTGCAGTGTACACATAGAAACAAATATAACACCTGAAAAACCTGATATACATAGACATTGTTGGAGCACGGCGTCTCCATCGGGTCCGTGGATGAGAAGAGATTCACAGCTGACACGGGGAGAAGTTGCAAATCACCGGTTTATTCTCTTGACTGATTATAATCAGGGAGCGGCCGTCTGACATACATTCAGCATGTACAGGAGGAGGCTCTGCCATATGTATCAGCTGTATCCCTTTTAAAGCCCTTTGGGCATCTCCCCCCCCCCCCCCTTTCTCGTCGGTACCTTCCGTGTACGTGACAACCACATGTGTGATTCCAGCCGGCTCGTAGTTGTCCTTCTGGAAGGCTAGGTAGCCTTGCCTTGCCGACGCGCCAGTCAG